TGGAGATAACACTGATGTCCAAAAAACACGCAAAAAAAAAAAAAAAAAGAGAGAGAGACAGAGAGATAGAAAGCGAGAAATCACCCCCCAAAGGGATGGCCAAGCTGCAATTCCTTCTCCTTCATTCTCCTCTCAGGACCTTGGGCACACACGCACACGCGCTCGGCATGAGTTGTAAGGCACTGGGTTCAGGACTCAAACAGCGGTCGACTACATGGGAGTCCAGCGACATAGCCATTACGCTAACTGCTGGTCCCCCCTTTAGTAGCTTTCTGAAAATGGTTGTATGGTGAGAGCACTGGTAAGACTTTCACTCTGAGTGTCTGAAAATGAAGTTTATTCTACACCGACATTTGTTTAAGTTTGGGCTAGACATGGAACTCATTTAGAATTTATTTTCCCTGAAAACTGAAAACTTTGTTCCACCTTCTTCTAACTTCTAGTATTCAAGTCAGCTTTATCAGTGTTTTCTTCATGAACTTGGACAAGGGCTCATGTTCAAGGGTTCTGTGATATCTAAGGCAATCCTCTAACATGAAAGACAGAGAACAAAATAAACACAGGAAAAGTGAACCAGCAGAAATAGTGAAAGAATCAGAAAATGATACACCAAAACAATATAAAGCATTTATGCCTCAGAAAGTCATTGAGATGTTGAGGATGCCAGTGCCATAGTAATTCCAGGTCCTCTTTATGTGACCTGTTTCGGTTTTGTTTTTCTCCAGAAGTGTTTAGGACCTGCTTTATATCCAATGTCAGCCATTCCGTAATAATGAGTCACGGTGTGAATCTTTGCCCACTCACTGTGTGGGTGTCCTCCTTGGTGATCCCCTTACATCAGGGAATCAGGTCATGGAGTTCCTAGGAAAGGTTTCTCAAAGTACTCCTTTGATCATTTCTGATAGTAGGTGGACAAGGGCAGAACCACAGACTGAAAAGGCCTTGTGACCAAGGGCTCTAACTCCTCAGGGATGAGGGCCCCTTTCTTGCAGATATACACCTAAACCAGGAGAGGTGCTAGAAGAATGGAAATCAAAAATGGATTGTAGATGTGACCACCAGTTAGCATAATGGCTATGTTGTTGGACTCCCATATACTCGACTGCGGTTCGCATCCCAGACCCAGTGGCTTAAAACTCACGCCAGGCGCGTGTGCGTGCGTGCCCAAGATCCCAAGAGGAGAACGAAGGAGAAGGGATTGTGGCATGACCATGCCCCCTGGGGGGTGATTTCTCGCTTTCTGTCTCTCTCTGTCTCTCTCTGTCTTTTTGATGAGTGCAGGTGCCCTATAGAAAAAAAAAAAAAAAACCCACCTCTCCCCCCCCCAAAAAAAAATGGATAGTAGAAAAGGGAGATCGTAAGTGACCAGTTGCTGTACCCCAACCAGATGTAGTGGTAGGGTTAGTCATTAACCTTCCTCTTGCATGTTTTTTCAGAAAAAGAATCTTGGCGGATCTTTTTCCAGATACAGGTAACTTTTCATAAAAGCTAATGAATGTGAGTGGAGCAAGATGCGAACGGTGGTGGAGGCTGCATGGCACCACCTGAGTCACCTGCTTTAGGACTAAGGTACTCGTTCCCCCAGCTTCTGGGAGCACTGCCTGCTGAAGCCTTGTAACTGAGACCTCCCCAAGGATTTGCCTCCAGCCAAAGGTAGCTGCCTCACCTGAGGTTATTCAAGAAGATCTTGTCCGAATCTTGTTTTACGAATATTATACCTTCTCTTATCTCTCTGTAGTGTAAATAATAGTTTTGCTTTCAAAATATTTCTAAGTCTGTTTTCTTATTGAATCATCTCCATTTCCTCTGAGTTTCTCTCCCCACCCTGCCCACTCTTTCTTCTTTGCCTTCATGTTAGGGCACTTTATCAAACATTTGATAGTCCCTTGGCAATTCATCTGAATGCAAACAACGTGAGGCACTAAAAAGCTGATAGGAAGTTCTGTGGAATTTGATTTTCTGATAGTACTCTGGAGTAATCTGAGTGGACTGTGACATCGAAGACTGCTCCCTTTCAGTATATGGTTATTTTTTTTCTCTTTAACTGACCAGTTTCCCATAGAGGAACCCTCCATTCTTCTGTATTAAAAGGTTGGGTGGGTAGGTTATACTTAACTTATATTCTAGGTCTTTCTATTCTGCTAAGTCACCTTCTAGTTTATCACTTTCCTGGCTTCTAACCATTCTCCTTTCCTTTCTGTATTGATGCTTTGTTTCCTCTTTCATTGTCACTCAATGGCTTCAGGAGAGATTGGGGTAAATACATTCATCCAATTTTCTACATTTTACCTTAACCCATTTCATAGATGGAGAAACTGACCCACAGAGGGAATCACAATTTGCCCCTGATCACAGAGCATAAATAAAGCCTCCAGGTAGGTCCCCAGACCAATGTTTTTGGTAGGAAAAATGTATAAAAACAGGAGGAATACAAAAATTCTGCAAGGTGATTTGTGGGTAGAGGGATATGCCTGATGAGAAAGCACTGACAAGTGGCAAGAAATGAAGAGTTGGACAGAAAAAAGGGAGATATTTTTATCCTGGATTTTTCCGACTTGTATGTTTATGTCTTCAAATTCCTTCAGATACTTATTATCTACAGGAACCTCTTTCTGTGTCTGACACTATTCTATTGCAAGCCAAATTCCTCACTTGTTCTATTCCACTCAAAAAAACTTTCCCAGAAATGTATAGTATTTTAAAAATGTGGTTCTAGTCAAATTGCTCTTATCCTCAAATGTATGCAATGTCTTCTCATTGCTCATTGGGTAAAATCCCGACCCCTAGTTATTCAATAATCCTACCACAGCCACTCTCTGGTAGCACTCATGAGCCTCAATGTTTGTCAAGATATGATTTATATATACTGATACCAGTGAATGAATGAAGACGTTTTCAGTGATTAAATAAATATTTATTATTGATCCTTAGGTGTGTGGTCATGTTGTAGATTATCTTCAGAGGATATTCAGGAAACCAGTGCTTATTCTAAAAACTGAAACCTGCATGGCCTTAAATTCTCTGCCATATTAAAATGGCAGCCAGTTCATTGGTTGCCATGGAATTAAGACAAGAACAAAGAAGACTATCTTCACCATTTTAGTTTAAAACCTTTGGTTACAAAGTAGGCAAAAAGAAAAACACAGACGCAGATGACCAACTTTTCCCGGTTGTGGCTGGGCACAGACCCGTTATGCTCATAGTTCTGCTGATTCTCAGGAGCCCTCTCTGTCTCAGCTGACTGGTTGTTTTCTTGGTTTTGAACATACACATTACCAATTAGAGACGAGGGGCTATCAGTATTTGGAAAGGAGAGCAGGGACTGGCATGGCTCTGGTATATAATCTTGTAAGCCCTTCGCACAAAAGCCCAGAGCACATGCCTCGCAATTTACGATATCATGGGATCCCTCCAAAGGCAGCTCTTGAACCACTGGGATCTCTGCATACTTCTTGACTCCATAGCCATAGTATTTCTCCAGAATACGATGCACCAGGTTTTTCAGAATCCTCGTGGAACTATCTGTGGAGAATTCAGGCATCTGATAAGGGGACCAGGAGCACTTCTGGCACCTCTGAGCAAAGAGCCGCATAAGCACCAGGCCTTGGGATGTCCAGTGATCCCAGCACATGTGACACAGGACCTGCACTTGGGCAGAAGCCCAGCTTCGCTGGCATGAGGAGCACCTGAACCTGCAGGCAGAGGGAAGAAGTCCATTATGTCCTCAGCTGACTGCAGACCTGAAGGAGAGCCTCTAAATTCCCTTTCAATTTGAAAAAGTTCATGTAATTTGGATTGTCCCCGTCACTGGAACGGAACAAGAGGGATTGTTTCTAGGACAGCTTTTCTCTGTGACCCATGGGATTCCATCAACATGTCTCCCAAGTCTGCCTCTTTGCTAGCAAAACCTGTCTGGATTCTCAGAGGAGAAGCAATTTCTGCTATTTGCCAGTGAAATTCATTCTTCATATAGTCACAGAAAATTTTATAAAGTACCTAATTTGAGGCAGACACTACAGTTAGTGTTACAGTGTTATCCAATGTCACCTTTAAAGCATTGCTAAGAAGTAGGTATTACTTGGGAACCAGCAGTTAGCGTAATAACTATGTCACTGGACTCCCACGTAGTCGACCACGATTCGCGTCCCGGACCCGGTGGCTTGAGACTCACGCCAGGCGCGTGTGCGTGTGTGCCCAAGATCCCGAGAGGAGAATGGAGGAGAAGGGATTGCGGCGTGACCATCCCCCTGGGGGGTGATTTCTCGCTTTCTGTCTCTATGCCTCTCTCTGTCTGTCTGGAGAGCACATGCACTCTGTAGCAAAAACCTCTCAAAAAAATAAATAAATAAATAAAAGAGAGAGAGAGACAGAGAGAAAGAAAGGGAGAAATCACCCCCCAAAGGGATGG